CAGATTTGATCCATTCAGCCCTACTTCCGTAAGTTGTAAATGCACTCCGCTAGGAGATGCTATCGCTATCTCTAGATCGTGCCGCGAGTGCACGGGCTTTGCTGAGTGACTGATGGCCTCCAGCAAGCCCTGGACGGGACCGCCCGCCGCCAAATGCGCGGCCGTCCTCGGAAGCAAGGGTAAGCAATTAGCCATCAGGGAAAGGTGAGTGGACGCTGGTGCCGGCCAGTATTAGCATTTAGGGAGTTCGAGGCTCCCTCCCCAAGTGCCTGTTTATGCATCCTCTTAGCTACGGGGAGCCCCCTGGGAAGGCATTAGTAGTTTATCTCATGTCTTAAGTGGCCTTAATGAAGCAGGGAGCTTGAACCGTGGTTTACTTTATCCCAAATCCACAAAGAAGGATTTAGAAAAGCTGAGGCGCCAGCTGAGGGCACTTGATCTTTGCGGAGCGAGGTTGGAGACGAAAGTCAGTCTGCTCGAAGGTGGTAAAATCTTTCTCCGTTGAAACACCTTCCGAAGTTTGTGCTACCGCGTTGGGCTGTGCGTCGCTGGCTGCTGGGTTGACCAGCCTTAACTGGAGTATCTAAGACAGACCTGCACCTTCGCTCCTCCGACCTGCTCTGCCCCCACCCCACCCCGCGCACGCTCACTTGCGCCGCCAAATGACCGCCTCCTTTTCCGTCTTCTCCCGCCATTTTCGTCCCGTTCACTCTGAGGCTGCCTCCGCTCTTTGGGAAGCCGGCTCCACTGGCCATCCCATATCCCTCCCCACCCGGGCCCAACCGCCACTGCCTGCCAAGGCCTTATTCGGGCTCTTAGTTTTCTTTTTTGTTTGTTTTCCCGAGACAGGATTTCTCTGTGTAACCTGGCTGTCCTGGAACTCACTCTGTAGACCAGGTTGTCCTCGAACTCAGATCCACCATCTTTTGCCTCCCGAGTGCTGAGATCAAAGCCGTGTGCCACTAACCGCCGGGCCTATTTCGTTGTCCGTCCGTGTCCCCCGACAGGGTTTCTCTATGTAGTCTTGGCTGTCCTGGAACTCTAGAGCTGCCTGCCTCTGCTTCCGAGGGGAGTGCTGGGGTTAAAGATGCGCCTCCCAGCCTTAATTTTAAAAACAAACATTTGTTGTGCTCGCAAGCTTGCCACCGTGCGTCTGTGGGCATCAGAGGCGGTCGTCTCTACACTGCTTATTCTGGGGATCAAGCTCAGTTTGTCTGCTTAGCACCAAATTCGTATTTTAAAATGTGTGGTAATGCCTTAGCTTCTGACGCATCGTCTACCATCTTAATTCGACTTGTCACCTGCACAAGCTGCTACCCTGCCCTCCTGGCTTTCCACAGCTCATCCCTTAGCAAGGTTTTTTTTTTTTTTTCCTCTCACACATTGGACTGTCAGCTCAGGGCATTTGCCTGCTTTGTGAGGTGTGTGGTTTCTAAAGGAACTCTCCGGCGTGGTGGATCCTGTTATCCCCAGGGCTTGAGAGACCAAGGCAGGACAGCTACCTAGCAAGTCCCTGTTTCAATATCTCCACTTGTACTGTGTCGGTAGTTTGGAAACTTCAAAGCAAGCTGGGAGGGCGTGGAGTTTGGAGTCCAATGGACCTGGTGCTCTTTATTTTTGTAGTCTTCCTGCCTGTTTCTTGAGGGCTGGGATTACATGCAGGGATTACCTGGCTCTTTTTGTAGTCTTAAAACTTATTAAAGCTGGGGTCACATGTTGCCAGTGGGGCTGTTCTGGGTAATTTGTTAGCAAATGGGAATTTGCTGGGATGCTCGACCTGTGTTCTAATGCAGGGGACACTGGGTAGTGTAGGTGACCGGTTGCTAGGGAAAGAGCAATCCCTGCCACCTGGGGATAGGGAGCAAATGACACCAGCAGACCGGTTTTTAGTGGGCAGCCTGAAATGCTGAGGTCTGGGGATCCCATGGGCGGAGATTGACAAGTCCTCTTTCTCCTGCAGTCCCAGGACATGAAAGATCTGCAGAAGGAGCTAGAGCAGTTTGCCAAGGTGCTGAAGCAGAAGAGGATCACCTTGGGGTACACCCAGGCCGACGTGGGGCTCACCCTGGGTGTTCTCTTTGGTGGGTTTTCTTCTGCATCTTCTGACCCCACAGCGATCACAGCTCTCAATGTAGTTGCAAGGGGAAGGGCGTTTTAGGGGCTACCTCTCGTTTACCTGTGTAGAGGGAGATTAGAAACTTGAACTGCCTCTGGGAAGAGGTGGGAGCTTGCGAGGAGGGGTCTTGGAGGCCCTGCAGGCTACCTTACTTTCCCTTTGGCCTGCCCGGCTCCCCAGGAAAAGTGTTCAGCCAGACCACCATCTGCCGCTTTGAAGCGCTGCAGCTCAGCTTCAAGAACATGTGCAAACTGCGCCCCCTGCTGGAGAAGTGGGTGGAGGAAGCCGACAACAACGAGAACCTTCAGGAGGTGAGCTTCACATCTCCCCACCCCCCAGGATGCGCAGGCATGCACAGTGCCTTCCTCCCAGGTACCAATCCCACCGGCTCCATCCATTCATCATCGCTTGAAACGCTCCCTCTTCGACCAGAGATGCAGTTCTGTGTCTTGTGGTTGTTTCTTCCCCCGCTTCTAGTGCTGAGGATTAGAACCCAAGGCCTTAATATTTGCTATTCAGTTTCTCTCTTCCTGGGGCCCCCTCATCCCAGGTTTGAGTCTGATGTAACTTAGTTCTGGTCCCTCCCCAAACTCCGTTCTGCTGAGAAAGGGTCAGAGGTTTTTTTTTTTTTTTTGGTTTTTTTTTTTGTTTTTTTTTGGTCAGGGTTTCTCTGTGGCTTTGGAGCTGTCCTGGAACTAGCTCTGTAGACCAGGTTGGCCTCGAACTCACAGAGATCCGCCTGCCTCTGCCTCCCGAGTGCTGGGATTAAAGGCCTGCGCCACCACCGCCCGGCAGAGATTTGATCTAGGTCTCCCCCACCCCGTCCAGGATTCCCCTTCTCTGGGGCCACATCCAGTCAACGCTCCCATAGCAATTTGCTCCCTGACAACTCCTTCCGCCCATGTCCAGATATGCAAAGCGGAGACCCTGGTGCAGGCTCGTAAGAGAAAGCGGACGAGCATTGAGAACGGCGTGAGGGGGAACCTGGAGAGCATGTTTCTGCAGTGCCCGAAGCCCACCCTACAGCAGATAAGCATTATCGCCAAGCAGCTCGGCCTGGAGAAGGATGTGAGTGGTGCCTGGGTCCCCATTCTCTTTTCCCTCCCTCTGGCTTCGGCACCCGCGATCTGATGCCAATCTTCGCTGTACCATCCTAGGTTGTCCGAGTGTGGTTCTGTAACCGTCGCCAGAAGGGCAAACGATCAAACGCTGATTATTCCCAACGAGAAGAGTATGAGGCTGCCGGGTCTCCTTTCCCAGGGGGGCCTGTATCTTTTCCTCTACCCCCAGGGCCCCATTTTGGTGCCCCAAGCTATGCGAGCCCCCACTTTACCACACTCTACTCTCCAGTCCCGTTCCCTGAGGGCGAGGCCTTTCCTACTGTTCCTGTCTCTGCTCTGGGTTCTCCCATGCATTCAAACTGAGGCGCCAGCCCTGCCAGGGGATGAGGTGAGCTGAGGCGAGGGGGAGAGAGGTAGATAGAACCTGGAGCCACCACAGCCTTGGGGTGAAGCTCCTTTACTGAGGAGGGGTCGCAAGCACAAAAAGGGGAAGATGAAGTTCAGTGATGCTGTTTTGATCGTGAGCCTGTCACTCATTTTGTTCTTAAATAAAGCCTGGGACATGTTGGATGGCTAAACTGTCTTCCTTTAGTTACTTGCTAGTCTGGGGATAGAGAAATCCAGTAATGGAGCCTCATGCCCAGGCAGTCCTCAAATAAAGGCGCCTGCAAACTGTTGGGGGTTATGAAATGCCAAAGGGATAGCTGGGATTGGAACTCAACCTACAGAGAAAGATAGGACATCCTTGCTGGTACTTTAAATTGATCTTAGCTATCGTTCATCGGCAGCTGGCCTTGTCCCATGTCACTCTGGAAGTCCTAGTGGATTAACCTAAGAAAACCAAGTCTTTAGAAAAATTGTAGCCCTGGCTGCCCTGAACTGGAACTCAAGATCTACGTGCAGTTGACCACCCAAGTGCTGGGATTCAAGGTGTGCCTCGCCATGGCTGGCCTAAATTGTTAGCTTTTATATTTTGTTTGTATGGGTGCATTTGGGGCTTGTTTTATTTGTGTAAAGTGACTATGGGAGTCACTGGATCCCCGGGAACTGTAGGTTCTGGGAACCGAACCTGGGACCTGAGTCCTCTGCAATTTTCCTAGACAAGGTTTCTCTTGTGTAGCCACGCTGTTCTGGAACTCTGTAAAACCAGGATGGCCTCTGCCTTTATAGAGCGCTGGGATTAAAGGCTGTCTATCCGTAGCTCTTAGCTGCTAACTGCTGGGCCATCTCTCCCACCTAAAAACCAAAGTCTTCAAGCGCTTTTTTTTTTTTTGCTTTGTGTCAGCCCCACTAGAACTCTTGGCCTCTGCCTCCCGAGTCACGGGATTAAAGAGCATGTGCCACCACTGCCCAGCAAAGATTTTATTATATATGGAGTGTTCTGGCTGCATGCCAGAAGAGGGCACCAGATCCCATTATAAATGGTTGTGAACCACTAGTGGTTGTGGGAATAGAACTTGGGACCTCTGAGCCATTTCTCTGGCCCCTCCTTTTAAAGAAAGGACCTTGTGTAGACCAAGCTGGCCTGGAACTCATAGTATGCTTCCACGCTCAACATTAAATGTGTGTGTGTGTGTGTGTGTGTGTGTGTGTGCGCGCGCGTGTGTGTACCACAGCATGGGGACAATGCGTGAACGTCTCTCTCCTTCCACAACGTGGGTCCTGTGGCTCAGGTATGGTCAGTGGGCTCGATAGCCAGTGCCTTCATACACACGTCATTCCTACGGGTGCTTCTGCTGCAGGGAATTCCATCTCACACCACACCACGTCTAGGCTTCCCAGCATTTGGAAAGCGGGCTTAGACTCAAGGATAAATACCCCCATGTGGATGAAGCAAATTTATTTTTATTTAAAGGCAAAGCTCTGAAAAGCCAGAGACCCAGTCAGCTGCGGCACTAGCCATGATATAAGGAAGCCCTGGGGTGGCTTCTGTGATGGTTGCTCCAGCAGCAGGTAACTCTGGTGTCCATGGGAACTTGGCAGCAACACCTTTGGCAGGAAACCATCTTTTATTTTGTCACCTCAGCCATGAGGGTTCTTCAGCCTTGAGTCTATGGCAATGGATTTCTCCTGTGCTCATTCCCTCCTTTGAAGAAAGGAGATATTTCTCTAGATCCATTCTTTTCCAAAAAATGAATGTTTTGCCTGTATATATGTGTGCCTGGAGGCCAGAGGCCAGCAGATGTTGGATCCTGTGGGACTGGGGTGAGCTGAACATAGATCTTCTGCAAGAGCAAAAGGGCTCTTGATCACTGAGCCATCACTGCGGTGTGAGTTCCACTTAACACTATCACTGCCCCTAAACCGGAGGAGCCACCTATGTGTCCTCTGGCCTGCAAAGCCCAAGCTGTGAATCCAACATGGCATCCTGGGTGGCCAATGCAGGCCACAAGGTACTGGACATCACCGCCATCCCAGGCTACTGTCTTGTGGGTGGCCGCAAAGGTGCACAAGGCTCCCCACTTCCAATGACAGGAGTCTGGGGGTGTTCCTGCGTATCTTGTAGTCTAGACCTCGCCTCTGGACCTAGCTAGAGCAGCCCCAAAAGGGGCTCCAGGCCTGTGGGAAGCAGGAACTTGGAGGGTAAGGGGTGCCAGCAGAGTCCATGCCTAACACACAAGGTGACTCCTGGAACCCCAGCAGGACAGATCAGCTTCCATTCTGAGTGCCCTGTCCTGATCTTTACTTGGGGAATTTGAAGCTAGCCTGGGTTATACAGTGAGACCCTTTAGTCAAAAAGCAAACAGGGTTAGAAAGATGGCTCAGCTGATCTTTCCAGAGGATTTGGGGTCTAGTGCCCCACCAGTTAGAGGATCCAAAGCCTTCTGGTCTCAGGGTACTGCATACATGTGGCATCCTAAGTTGACCTGCTTATTCTAGTTTTTGTTTTGAGACAGGGTCTCAGTATGGGTCAGGTTGGTCTCACACTTGGCAATCCTGTCTTCTGCCTCGACTATCCAGTGCTGAGATTGATGGTGTTTTATGTATATGGTAGGACGCCAACCCTGGGCAAGTCAGGTGCATGCTAGCTAATGTCTCAGTGAGGCACTCCTGTGCCCCACCCCCTAGATTCTAGTTCTAACCCTTATTCCTGCAACCTCACACACATTTCCTGCATTTACGGATGAAAGCTAACCCGGATGTTATCCCTGTACCTCTCATCCCTGCCTTCTAAGACTTCATAAAAAAGAGTCTAGGGTGTGAGGTGTAGACAGGCTAACACTGAGGACTCAACTTACCCATTGGACACCAGAGCGGCTTTCTCCATGCGGAGCTTCTTCCTGGGCTCCATCAGGACTGACAGGGGGCACAGGGAAGCCTCGCTCTCGTCGTCCAGTTCTGCCAACACTCTGTGAGCCGATTTCCTCCTGTTCCTTGTGGGCGGAGTAGATGAAGCCCCCACTTCGCCAGGTTGGGTGGGAGCAGCCAGGCTTTGTGGTCGGCCTCCACCCCTGGAGAAGGTGAGGGGCTGGGGCTGCAGCTTGCTGAGGCTGCCGATGGAGTTGAGGATCAGTGTGGCCTTGGGGGCAGAGGAGAGGGTGCTGAGTGGCCGCTGGGGTGCCCCCTGAGGGGGCACCATGGGCTGGAAACCGGCCCCAGCTTCTCCCCTGGACCGAGGGACAGTGATGGCAGCAAAGTCCTGAGGTTTGACCCGGACTTGTTGGAACATGAAGTAGAATTCCGAGGAGCTGGTTCCTGCTTGCCCTTCAGGGCCAAAGGTCAGAAGGTCACCATCATTCAGCTCCAGCCTGTGGCCTCTGGGCAGTCGAACATTATTGACCAAAGTCCCTGTTGATGGTGAGGCACAAGACAAGTGACAAGTACTGTGACCTGGCCATTTGGTTTTCAGGGGAGCACCGAGGACAGTCCCACGAATGGGAAGTTTTCTCGCTGTGGTCCTGCTTGAGCAGATCTACCCCTAAACAGCTCCCATTCTTATATTTTTGAGACAGTTTTAATCTGTTGTTTAGACTGGCCCAGAACTCAGGACCCTCCTGTCTCAGCCTCCAGAGCGCTAAGATCACAGGGCGCGTGCACACTCGCGCGCGCGCGCTCACACACACACACACACACAGCCATACTTGCCCCCTGCTGCCCTTTTCCTTGTCTGTAAACTGTATCAGCTCCAGCTACACGTAACCACTGGCCCGTAACAGCAAGCACTCACGCTCACTGTTGGCTGTTACAGACCAATGCCGAAAACCTCAGATGAGGCTTCTCCAAACCTTGCATCTGACCTAATAATAGGAAACTAAGAACTGGAGATGAAAGAACTGTGGACTGTTGAGGCTGCCTTGGCCTGGGTGGAACACTGCCTTCAGGGGAACAAGTCTGAGCTTAGTACTAGAGTGTCCCGCTGTGACGCTTTACCAATGACACCCCAGCGCCTCCTTCCTAGCCCAGCGTGAGCCAAAACAGCCGAGCAGGTTAGTCCTGGGAAGAGCTGACTGCACAGCTCTGGCGGGGAGACCAGACCTGATCCTGCTTGTCTGTTCACGGGACACTGACAGAGAGGCTGGGAGGTAGATAGCGGGGTCCCAAAGATTCCCTACTTATGCCAACCTGGGGCTGCCTGCTCACCGCTTACCTTGGCTGCTGTGGTCCTCCAGGCTGACCCTCCAGTCGTCCCCTTGGAGCTCAGCATGCAGCTCCGCATGGACCCCAGAGATGAGGCCCGGCTCCTGCTGGGGCCGCAGGGCCACATCACACAGGTCAGCCCTGCAGCCCAGTCGGTAGGTGCAGCCCGACCTGGACGGGGGGTGGAAGGTGTAGAGATCACCGCCCCTGCCGCCCCCTATGCGCAGCAGCTGGAAGCAGGGCAGCATCTGGGGTGCTCCCTCGGCACCGCTTCTGCCACCTCAGCAGCTCATCACCGCCCCCGCTCCTGGGCCACGCACCGCGGGCTTCAGGTCAGTGCTAAGTGACGTCAACAGCTGTACCGTGGGCAATGCCAATGTGAGAAATAACAGATTCAGGGCGCCAGAGGCGGTAGTGGCTGTCAGGACGAGACTTAAAAAGCAGTTCCAGTGAAGTCCTGATGCGATGCAAAACCAGGAAGACGTCCTGCGGGACCTCGGGGGAGCCGGATTCTCGGGCCGCAGAGCATCCGGGGAGGCTCTAACAATCTGTGCAAGGCAAAGCTACTTTAAGCGGCAGCTGGGAACATGCAGACGGGGTGGGGAGGTCCTGCGACACGAACGTGCGTGCGGCACGGACGTGTCCCCTCGGCTGTAGCCCGGAGCCGGGAAACTTCCTAATCCAGGTGGAGCACCCCTTTCTGTCCGCCCCCGCTCTTCGGTCCCTCGAGGGAAGAGAATCCGCTGTCACCCACAAAGCGCGGCGCAGACAGGTCCCTGATACTGCTACAAAGTGGATCTCACCCTTTCCTTTTTCGCTTGCGGGGTAAACTGAGGAAGGGACTCCACACCCTACGCCCCTCGCTCCCGCTGCGGTTTGACAGCCAGGAAGCCGCCGGGAGGGCGCGGCTTAGGCGCGCGCCGCGCAGACTCCTCCTTCAGAATTCCCGGGTCCAGCTTCGCGCCTGCGAGCCCGCCTTCCCCCTCCGGCTGCTTCTGATTGGCTATCCGAGTTGCCCTCTTCCGTTCTACTGGATGAGGCACAGGGAGGAGCTGTCCCTCTCCCGCCCTCCGCCTTTTCTGATTGGCTTACACGTTTTCCCGGGTTCCCGGGGTGGGGTGGGGCCGTCAGGGCGCGGAGAAGGCCTTAGGCGTCATTGAGCCTGCGCGCACCTTTCTTCTTCCTCCTTCCGGCCAGGAGAAATGGTGCTTTAGAGCATTTAGAGCAGCCCGCCAACCCACCCGCCTCGCGCATGCGTGATCGGGGTGTGAAGCCTGGACCGGGCTCGGAGTAAGGGGCGTGGCAAGAGGTTGGACCTCGCGCCGGGTAAGGGGCGTTCGGCCAGAGTCGGTTGGGGGCGGAAAGGGTCTGAGAGGGGGTACTAGGGTGGGTGGACGGGGTCCGCAGGGGAAGGGGGTGCAGGAACCCAGAAAACAAACAGATGAGGGGGGCGAGACAGCCTTAGCGCTCAGGGTGCTCAGGGGGATGCGCCAGGGGTGTGTGCAGGAGAGGAGAGGGGATACCGGAGGACAGGGAGCGCAGGATAATTCCGTCCAGAAGGATGCAGACTAGAACTAAGAGGAGAAGCGTGTAGAATCTCTGGATTGCGTGAAAACAAACAACAGCAGCAGCAACAACAACAAAAAAGACATTTGAATTCGGATGGGAGTTGGACAAAGAAGATGCTGTAGGTCTCCGAACAGAGACGGGCTTCGGGAATGGAAGCAGAGGGGACGGGGATAGAGAGAAACTGAGGCCGGTTACCGAGAGGCTCCGTTGAGATAGCAGGAAGCTGGGTTCCCGGCAACGGGCTCTAGGCTGCTTGCGTTCCCCGGGGATCCTAGGGAAGCCACTTAACCCCATATGTGGCCTCATTCTTCTGGGGCCAGGCCTTGGGCTAACGCTTTGAAAGGAATTGACCCAGAAATCATGGTTCGTTGGTACCTAGATGGGCTCCCCAACATCCCTACCATTCCATGGCGAGAACTGTGGAGACCGGGCTCCCTACGAACCCTCTCACCTCCAGCCCTGAGCTGCAGGGACCGTAGACCCTTAAGGAGGAAGGTAAGGCACCACCCAGAATCCTGTAAGTAGAAGCTATCTCCAAGGCACCCTCTGGCTCCCATCCCAGTATATTTACCTCATGGTTGTTGCTGCGTTCGTTCTCTTAGGAACGTGACTGGGACAGGCAAGTGGTTTGGTTTTCATCTGCCTTCTTAGGGAAGTAAGGAAAGAGAAGCTTAGAGCCCTGTGGGTCAGTCAGTAACTTTAGTATTTATTTTATCACTTTGTTATTATAGGACTTTCTCTTTGGAAGGTGGCCTGATAACTGAACTGGAGTGTCCTTGTTTCTCCTATTGTCCAGGGGAACGTACATGCCTGGAGACACGATCCAGAGGCTTCAGATAAGACAGAGATGTTGCCACCTTCAGGTCAGTGAGGCCAGTCCAGGAGGCTGGGGGTCCCCTCTCTCGCTGAGAAACTGACAGTCTTTTACTCTTGTGATCCCCTCAGGTTCTGCTGGGCTGGTTCCTCCCTCTCACTTCCAAGCTCGGCCCCTTCCAACTCTGCCAAGAATGGCCCCGACTTGGGCTTCCAACATTCCCCTGGTCCAATCCAGGGCTGGCCAAGGTGTCGTCGAGAGGCGGTTAGATACTCAGAGTCCTACGGTGACCATGTGGGAACAGGATGTTTGTGGAGATGGACAGGGGACAGGGCGGAGAGGCAGGTAGGGGTCGGACTTGCCCTTGGTTCCATCACTTGTGTGGTTTTCTGTAGGTGTTGTTGGTGCCTACAATGCATATACCATATGCACTGGGTATAACAGAGAGCTCTGGGCTTAAATTCCCAGCTACCAAGGAATGTAACTGTCTAAGGGAGGAGATGGGTGGCCCAGAAGCTGTTGGGAAGCGAGATGACACGTAGCTTAGACATGCTGACCCGGTACAGTGTTCCATACTGGTTCTTTTTTTTGTTTTTGGGTTTTTTTTTTTTTTTTTTTTCGAGGCAGGGTTTCTCTGTGGCTTTGGAGCCTGTCCTGGAACTAGCTCTTGTAGACCAGGCTGGTCTCGAACTCACAGGGATCCGCCTGCCTCTGCCTCCCAAGTGCTGGGATTAAAGGCGTGCGCCACCATCGCATGGCTTCCATACTGGTTCTTATGGAGTAGTTAAAAAGGTCTATACGGGCTGGAGAGATGGCTCAGAGGTTAAGAACACTGGTTGTTCTTCCAGAGGTCCTGAGTTCAGTTCCCAACAACCACATGGTGGCTCACAACCATCTACAATGAGATCTGGTGCCCTCTTCTGGTGTGCAGACATACATGCAGGCAGAATACCATATACAAAATAAATAAATAAAATCTTTAAAAACAACAGATTTCAGCTGAGCTCACATCTTTAATTTCACCACTTAGGAGGCAGAGGCAGACAGATCTCTGAGTTCAAGGCCAGCCTGGTCTACAGCCAGTACTGTTACACAGAGAAACCCTATCTTAAAAAAAAAACAAAAAGTCCTTTACAGGATTATGCCTCTGCCTATGACTATGCTCTGAATATGTGTTTTAAGATTTTATTTTTGAGCCGGGCATGGCCTGCCTTTAATCTAGAGCAGCCAAGGCAGGTGGCTCTCTGAGTTCAAGGCCCCTCCCTGGCCTACAGACTGAGTTTCTAGACGGCCAGGGCTACATAAAGAAAACCCTGTCTGGATAAAAGGAAAGAAAGCAAAATAAGATTTTATTTATATCTATGTGTGAGCATGCATACTTGGAGGCCAGAAGAGGCTGTAGGGTTCTCTGGAGCTGGAGTTACAGGCGGCTATGACCATCAGATGTGGGTGCTGGGAACTGAACTGGGGGTTTTGCCAGAGCAGCCAGCACTCTCAGCCACTGAGCCATCTCCCCAGCCCCCAGGAATATGTCTGTGTGAGTGAGAATTCTTTGAAGCCTGGAGTCTGACCTGGTACTTGCTCTACAACTCAGACTGCCCTCGAACTCACAGAGATCTGCCTGCCTCTGCCTCCCAAGTGCTGAAATTTAAGGTGTGCACCATCACTGCCCGGCTGCTCAAGGTGTTCTTATGATGGTATAAGTGTAGAGATCCTACTGCCTCAGCTTCAGCCCCTGCTTCCCCACATAAAGTAGGGGGTCACTATCCTCTTTGCTGTCTCCACCCTCCCCGCACTACCCAGGATGCATCTCACCCGTGCCCACTTGTCTTTGAAGGTCTCTGGAACTGGGGGTCTCCAGCGCCCTGAGCCAGCAGGCCGAGCTGATCTCCTGGCAGCTCCAGGACTTGCGGCGGCTGGAGGAGGAGGTCCGATCGCTAAGGGAGACCTCGCTGCAGCAGAAGATGCGGTTGGAGGCGCAGACTCTGGAGCTGGATGCTCTCGCCGTGGCAGAGAAGGCTGGCCAAGCTGAGGCTGAGGGCCTGCGTGCCGCCTTGGCTGGAGCCGAGATGGTCCGGAAGAACCTGGAGGAGGGGAGCCAGAGGGAGCTGCAGGAGATGCAGAGTCTGCACCAAGAGCAGGTGAAGATGGGGGCGAGAGAGTGTGCACTTCCCAGCGAATTGCAGGGAGCCTGGGGGTGGAGGATGGGGTGGGAGCAGAGCCATGGCATTTTGGAAGGGGAACGTGGGTGTTTTGGTCTTACTCGGGCTGCAGTTGTTCTTGGGGGTCATGTGACCTGGCATCATTTGAAACTCTCCCAAGTAGTATTTCCCAGTTCTTTGCCAGGTACCCTTCTAGGAACCTCGTGGAGGGAGGGAGGAAAGCGGGTATGGATCCCGGGAAAGACTGAGAGAACATTGTTCAGTCAGGATGCCCACGGCTTCTCTTTGCCATCCTCGAGGTAGGAGCTGCCTGGGGATTCAGTGACCAGGTTGTCTGAGTCTCTGCTGTCATGAATGGAGCGGACAGCCTGGTGGGGACACATTTAATGTGGCTTTAGCCAGCTGCAGCTGGAAAAGTGCTGCAGGGTGCAGGAGCACGAAGGTGGCCCAGGGACAAGGAAGGGCAGGCACCCCAGGCCCTGGCGAGGTCAGGAAGGGAAGCTGTAAAGATGAGTGTGTTGTTTGTAATATCGGGGCAGCAGCGGCCGAGAAGGCTCCCCGAATGTGTCGCTTCCCTAAGCAGACATCCGCTTTGATATTTGATAGCCTGTGTAATTGGTACCACGGTCAGAGGGCAACTCCACAGTCATTGTGAGACAGCTGTTTGCTTTGCTGTTTGTTTTGATTTTTTAAGACAGGGCTTCTCTGTGCAGCCTAGCTGTCCTGGGACCTGCTTTGTAGACCTGGCTGGCCTGGAGCTCACAGATTCTCTTGCCTCCGCCTCCCAAGTGCTGGAATTAAAGGTGTGCGCCACCTCGCCGGGCTCCAGAAAGAAAAGCAGGCTAACAACACAATCAGACTTGTATTTTACGTCGAGAAAGACTGTGCAGGGAGAGCCTCGGGAGAGCTTGGGGAAGTGCACTGTCAGGCAGCAGGCTTGGTGGGTATGGCAGATCTATTTTGGGGTGCAGGGGTGTGTTAAGGCAGGGTCTGGATATGTAGCCCTGGCTGGCCTTAAACTTGACAGTCCTCCAGTCTCGGCTTCTGTTGCTGTCTGAAAGCACCAGGCCAGAAAACAACTGGGGAAGGAAAGGGTTTGGCATATGTAACCCTGGCCACGTCCACTGAGGGAAGCCAAGGCAGGAGCTGAAGCAGAGGCCAAGGAGGAACACTGTCACTGACTTGCTCCTGGTGGCTTGGTCAGCCTGCTTGCTTATGTAACTCAGGACCCACCCCACTGTGGGCTGGGCCCTCACACATCAACTATTAATCAAGGAAATGTCCTTGCCTATGGGACAATCTGATGGATGCATTTTCTCAATCGAGGTCCCCCCCCAAACTCTAGCTTGACAGCCGGGTGGTGGAGGTGTGCACCTT